AAAGAAAGAGAGTTGATGTTATATAATGTAGACTGCAATTAGATTATGCCTGCGATTAATGAACGACTCTCAATTCTTAACCAACTCCCCAACCAAACCCGAAAAAATGCTAAAAGCTTCTTTTTTTTTTAAATCCCTCAGAACTTCACATGCATAACACAGAACTTTTAGCCTTGGTCGAGCTAGAGATATAAACGTTTTTGTTACTAGTTACTACCATAAAACTCTACATATGTATAACTTAACTCAGAGAGCCGAATAACTTTGAAATATTTCATTTCATTAGAGAGACAAAAAAATTGGAGGAGAATAATACCTCTTATCATCATCCAGCAAGAAGTAAATCGTATGTGGAATCGTGTGGCCAGCGATAAGAAAAACTAGGTGGTTCGATCCACCTTGTTTGGCACAAATACGGATTACAAACCACGAGCCTAAAAGTGTCCTTCAAGATGCATAACAATAATCCCTCGCAGTGATAGACTAGAAGTATCTTTACTTGTTCTTGTTGATCTGAATCATCCACCTTGTTTACAAAATAATTGAATCATTTAAGTCCGGAAATCGTATTATATATATGTGTATATGTTTGTTTACAAAATAAAACTTGTCGTGGCAGATTTGTCCGGGAGATCACGGGTTTGAATCCCAGCAATTCATTCTTTTGTTATATGAGTTTTGTGTATATATAGGGTTGTTTATCAAGTGTCAAGTTAGAGTATTGTCATTTTTATTTACACATGATGATAAGGTCTTTGAGTCTTGATAATGTGATGCTTCTGGTTGTGTTTGTCATTGATATAAACTTCTTGCAGAAACATTTTAGTTACTAATAGTCCAAATAACGAAACGACTTATCTCCCATTGTTTACAATCATCAAAGAATACATAAAATGCAACAATCATCATAAAACAATTGAGTTATTGAACATTTTTGATAAAATAAACTCAAGAAAGAATCTGTACTATTCTTTATAAGAGTCTTAGAACATTACATTATTTGCAAGCAGGAAGCTGAAGTAGAGAAACTGAGTTTCCTTTTCAGGTTCTGCTGCTACTACCACCATTGTTGGGATGCTTGCTGATCCTTTGGATAATCACAGTCCTTGCCCTTCGGATATCTCTGCCACACAACTCAGCTTGAATCCCCAATTCCTCTACATTCTTCCTAAACACCTCAAGCTTCTTCTTAATCTCCTCGATCCCAATCTTGACCGCTTCATGCTCCACCGCGAATGCCGCACTCTTCACCATCCCTGTGATCTCAATCTCCAACCGTTCGATCAAAACCCGTATATTATCCAAATCTTTAACCGCAACATATGTCCCTGCCTGCATCGAACTGATCACCTCTTTCTGCCCTTTGAGTACATTCTCATACTTCTTCCACAAGGAATCGATCCATTTCCCCATTGATCCCAGCGGCA